GATCGATGCAGCACGGCTTGAGTGGTACACGCTTCCGAAATGTTGAAGAAGTGCGAGAATGGGTGGACGAATGGATTGCTTCGAAACAAACATCGTTTTATCGAGATGGTATCGCCCAGTTGCCAGAAAGATGGCAAAAAGTTGTAGAAAGTGATGGAAAATACTTTCATTGAAATAATTTCAATAAATTTTTTACAATAAATGCTTTTTCTCAGTATTTTTTGGGCGGAAACTAAGTTAAGGTTCTAATATATTGCGCCATTAACGCGCTTTGATCCTTCGTAATGCCCGTGTCCACCGAACACATGCGTACAAGATACACGTTAGACCGTTAGACTAAACTGTCCGATTTAACGTAATTCGATCTGATTTATCACTATTTCCCGCCGCCGGGAGAAGATGCGATCGCACGACGGTGACGGGTCGAGTCAGGAGAGAACGGGACAAGATGCTGCACTTTTCAGGATTTTGAAGTTGCAACTTTTCCGGACATCTAAAGCGCGCACGAATGTTCCAATCAGTGACCAAGTAATCTCATCGTAAATTGAAATAATAATGAAAATGAAAATAAAAATACGTAAATTAATTAATAAATTAATTAATAATGCACGTTTGTTGTTCTCAATACATATATAATTGATTTAATTGATATATTTGATATAATTGATTTTGTTGGAAAGCTTTAAACATATCTGTGGTTTTAACTGTGTAATATTTTTTAATTTATGAGAAAATTTTATTTTATTTATAATGCGTTTTCAAAAATAGAAGGTTAATATCTCACGATTCTGTTACACAGAATTTTCTTAAGTAATCCCAGTTAAATCTTTTAAGCAGAATAGCAACTAGGGGTAAGACAATCATATAAAATACGTACGACCTTACATCTCGAAAAATATTTTATATTTATTTAATTATTTTGTAATAAGAGTAAGACTGGATATTACTGTTTTATTTCGGAAAAAAATATAAAGATATATTTCCGATAGTCAGAATATAATAATTTGTTTTTTACTTACATTAGTATAAAGCCAAATTTATGTCATCTGTCTCTATATATCTTATATCGGCCATTTTATAAATAAAAATTACTTTTATTACTGGAGGTGATATATTATATACTTGCAAGAGACTTCATTTTAACTATTAACGTGTCACATAAATTTATTTGCTTTCAGAATGGAGAATATTAACACGAAATGTCGAGATACTCGAGAATGTACTCGACAGTTTCTGAATAAGTTTTCTCTACACACAGAGGAATATCCTTCTACTACCAAGAAAAGCAATTACTCAGTTTACTTTCATTCTTTTAGATAACGATTATCTTCAACGGAGAATATTTTCTTAATAATAGCATTAAAATATACTTGTCACAAGTGTGAGAAAAACTCATTATCACGTGTTCTCAAAAGAACAATTTATCTCTCTTTACGAAAATATTATAAAATTGTATCGAAGAAAATGTTGATTCAACTCTGTGTAGTAAGCAAATAAAATTTTTGCTTTGATTTAAGGGGAGGTTCAAACTTAGATTTAGTCGAAAAAGTAGAAGGTTTTTACGAATTTTGTCAAAGAAATAAATGAAGACATCAGTATAGAGTTTTGATAAAACCAAATTTAGGTTTTAATTTAATATTCTTGATTGCAAAATGCTAAATCTATTAAAATTGAGAATGTATTTTGAATAAATTTGATGTTTATGTGACAAATTTGCGGATATCCCAGATTCGTGTTCGTAACGTTCGTGGGAACGTTTAAACAGAACCGATTAATCATAAAAATGAACATAAAATACCGTTTTGCGTCCCATACCGTTTTGCGATATTCGCAATAATCATCTCAAGATATTAATTAAAGAAGATTGATGAATAATGACGCGCAATATGGTAGATAAGTTATAGTGATGCCGTCTGTCGTTATATACTTATACATTTAAGCTTGACCTACAATGTGTTATTTGCTTCTTTCTTTTTCTTTATTTCTTTCTCACACTTTAAGCTTTAAGCCAGAAAAAGACAGAAGACAAAAGACAAAAAACAGAACGCAAAGAGCACATTGTAGATTTGGCTTTAGTCAAACTGAACAAAAAAGTCTTCTACCGTTTTGCAAATGACCACATAGATTTTGAGATATTAATTAAAAAAAATTTGTGCATTAGCGCACAACAATTTTCCTTCATTAATAACTAAAAATCTACGTGGTTATTTACAAAACGATAAAAAGGACTTTCAATTTTTCATCTAATACAAGCACATGACAGCACATATCGCCATTACGCCTCATCTACCATATCGCGCGCGATCATCTACTAATCTTGTTTAATTAATACCTCGAGATTTATTGCGAATATCGCAAAATGATATAGAAGTTTTATGTTTTATATTATAAAATTTTATCGAAGAAAATGTTGATTCAACTCTGTGTAATAAGCAAATAGAATTTTTGTTTTGATTTAAGGGGAGGTTCAGACTTAGATTTAACCGAAAAAGTAGAAGATTTTTACGATTTTTTTAAAAGAAATAAATGAAGACATCAGTACAGAGTTTTAGAACACTTTAATCTATTCTACGTTTCCGCGAATGTGTTGCGAAGACGAATCTGGGGTACCCTGTATAAACTTAAAAGTATAAAATAAGTATAAGTTATAAGTTAATAAGTTATAACTTACATTTACTTAAATACTCTACTTAGCAAGCAGCTGCTTACTTAAATGCTACTTAGTTAGCAGTTACTTAGCAAGCAACTTGAATGTATCTCTGCGTGCACTTTTCAACTGTAATATTATTCCGGCTTTAATGAAACTCAGGAGCTAGAAATCTACGTTCTAAAAGGAACATTTTGCGACTTCATTTCCACTGTTCGCCTCACAATAAGTGCACAAACAAAGCACATGGCTAATGCGTGTAACTCTTGGGTCGACTAGGCCCGGTCTCCCCTATTTTGCGAGACGCGCTACCGTGAAAAGGAGCCACACACACACACATACACGAGACTCGCGACGACGGAGGATGGTAATGCGAACTAATGCGAGCGGCCACGGTGTAATGCGGGAACTTATGGGTGCGACAAGGCATGGGGGTATAGTGAGACGAATACTCACTTTCACGCCTCGCGCACAGGCGTCGCCCATATCTTTTTATCTCTTTTCCTTTTTTGTCTCTCCTTTTTCTCTTCCCACGAAAGGAAGATGAGAAGGAGGGAAGGAAGGAAAGAAGGGAGAGGAGGATGGCAGGAAGCTCCCACAAATTCGCGCCGAGTTTTCCTCTTCAAATCCGTTTTGATCGCCCATCCATTCTCGCTCCTTAACTCCCGGACTGCTAGAACTCTCGATATTAAATATTTCAATAAATAAGCTTCGAGGTGGAAATCCGTTACGGCGGAGTCTCGGGGAAAAGTTCAAATCGAGTCAGGACACGGAGTAATGTCTTCTTGTTGTTCGTTCGCGGGCCAGTGAGTTTAATTCGTCGATTCAGAGCCGCTGAACTTTCAATAGCGTTCTTACACCTGCACGTGTGAGATCGATCATTCTATAAGGCAAAGTTAATCCGTGCCACCTGCTTCCTGCATTACACACTGCGGCCCAGCCGTACTCGCATTTCGCGTTATAACGAATCGCCGCTATATAATCATACGCAGAGAGAGAAAAATATCTAAAAAATAAAGAATTTATTTGCGCGGCAGATACTGACAAATATTCACTTATACTAGTATAAAATGTTTTTCAAATAAAAAAATATAGGAGAGACCGGAGCTATGTGGCCTCAGAGGTGTGTTGCTCGTGTGCTTTTTTTAGTATTTATTTTGAGAGGAATAGTGGGGACACAAAATTGCGTAATGATCCTTTTAGAACACAAATACTTTTCCCTGAGTTTCATTAAAATCGGAATTATAATTAAGAAATAAAAAAAACTGATTTAGACAAAACAAATTTTCTATCGAGTCTCTCAAAATTTTCTATTAATATTTCTCATCATAACTGAATAAAATTAAGCGATATTTTCCTAGCCAGAATGAAATTTCTTGCAAGTACTATGATGTACTGTTTCCGGTTATACATGCAATTTTTCTTTTATAGAATTATTAGAATAGAGCATATGAACAGACGAGGTAAAGTTGGCCCATAATTAAGGGCCGACAGGAAGGCTGTGGCAACCTCTCATGGAAACTCTAGAACTATTATTCAGGATACATGTTTTATACGTGACCTTCTCTTTTTTACTCTGCACTGTTGAACCACTGAATCCTGAGCAAAATGGCCATGCTGCTGCATGCTCGTATTTTGCTTATTACAAAACAAAATATACTTCGAGATTCTAAAATATACACGGAAAGAAAGGATATTTGGTTGAACTAACCAAATATCTAGTCGAATATAAACGATCCAGAAATTCCGATTGAAGTAACCCGAATTCTGTTTAAGTGCACCAAAAATTTTTCTTCTTGTTGTAAAAACCTTGTTAACTTAAACAGAATTCGGGTTACTTCAATCGGAATTTCTGAATCGTTATTCGACCAGATTGGTTCGACCAGATTCGACCAATTTGGTTAATTCAACCAAACCTTTTTTCCTGTGTAGAGCTCCGACCTTCCCTACATTTCCTTAAACCTTTAGCTCTTCATGAAAGCAATTATTTATTTTACTTGAAAAAAAGAATCTGAATTTAAATAAATATACTGATAATACTACCTGAGTAAATATTACTTTTAGATATCTTCTTCTCCTGGTGCAGAAAAGTTTGCGATTTTGGGAGATAAAACGCGCGGCTAAGGAATTACGAACGACTCTGTCTGTTTCTCTCTCCTTCTCTCTTCCTATTTTTTTTCTAATGGAGGAGATACACATGTAACGATTGTCACAGCACACTCACGAGTAGTGAAACTGTGGTCCCACCAGTCAGTTCGGCAGAGGTACGCTTTGAGATCGTCGGCGGTCCGCGCGACGATCACGACGGGCGGCGCGACCAGAGTCCTTATGCTCAGGAACACGCTGAACGTCAGGACGATGATGCCCAGCCGCTTCAGCAAGCTCGCGTCCGTTATTTTCACGGCTTTCGCCGATTTCACTCGGAAGATCACGGATATCCTGCGAGCGAACATCGCAAACGTATCGTTCGATCCTTCTTTTAGTCTGGAGCACGTTATATCTTGATTATTTAGCGAATCTGTAGCTCTTAAACAATCTGTCGATGAAGTAAAACGGTTTCAAGGAAACAGTGAAGGACGTGGACTTGTGCAAGAGCATACGTTAACTTCGTAAACTTAATGAATGCAAGAACTCGTACGATGCAACCTGCGATTAGAAAGTCGTGCCTGCATATGTGTGACATTATTATCCTGCAATTATCGGCATCCAGGCATTAATGGTATTATTAGTCTCTTATTTTATCGACAATAGAATCAATGTGATTAGATAGACAGATTAGATAGATGAGTGCGTTTATTGATGCTCTACACGGAGGGAATATTGTAGTTTCTTTTTCATATAAATTCTCTTCAATCTTTTTATATTTCTCTAATAGTGTGTGCAGAAATGGACTACCGGTATAGTATATTTCGCTAAGGAATACTGTAAATTTCTCTTGAAAATTAACAGATTTTTTAACAGCTCATTTCAATTTCTGAAATATAAGCAGCATATAAACTGCAAATACAAGTGTGTTATTTTTAAACTCATAAACTTATAATTTGACTAAAGTCTTTTTACACACGGAGAACAATAATTTGCTGGCCTAGCAAATTTTCTACTGGTCTAGCAAAATCTTTTCGTTATTATATGGACAGCAAAAAGATTTGCTAAGAGTACTAATCACTATTTGCTGAATATACTTTGCTGAATCTACAAATTATTTTGCTATAAGAACCACGATGGATTTATATAAGCAGTTGCAGTTTTTCTCCGATAGCAAATAAATTTGCTAAGGATACATTATTTTGCATCAATAGCAAATTAACGTGATTTTTAGAACAAATACACTCAACAAATTTTTTCTATCCTGACAACGAAACTACTTCTGCTCTGATAACAAATAATTTGTAAAATTAGTTACATCAACTAAATATTTTTGATGTCATTATGAATATGCAGTAGCAACGATAATTTTGCTAAAAGAGCAAAATTATTTTTCTCCGTATACAAGTTCATAAAAATCGGCGGCTTGTGTGGGTTTCTTGTAATTTTGAATCATGTCATTTAACGTTTATGAGACTCAAAATGAGTAAATTATAATTTAATACGTTCAAACATGCTAAATGACGTGACTTAAGATGGTAAGAAACATGTAAAAGGAAATTCAGAATCCAAAATAACACACTTGGATTTTACGGTGTATAAAATGGACGGATAGTTAATTACTGCAGAATGTTGATTTATTTCTTTTGTCGTAAAATTTTTTTAACGTCCAAGGGACGCCATTTATGTAACTAGCCGTAGGCTAACAAACATTTTGATTTAACAGAAATAATAGATTAAAGAATGCTAGGATCACATCCATTTGTTGAATTCAGAGTCTGGCAACGATTTGCGGTAAGAATAATCCGCAGCGACAGTAGCAAGTTTTCTCTTTATTTTGTTAGTTCGAAAGTCTTTTTAAGCTTTCTCACCAGCTTACTGTTGTTCCGGAGTTGCAAAATGCATTCCGGAGTTGACAACTTTTGCTATAAAATTCTCTCCGTGCGGAGCGTTACAGGGAAGCAAGGAATATTATAAAGAATAATCTATGAAGAAAAGAAAATAAAAAGGTACCTTTAAATTTCGTTGAAATGCATTCGAGACATCTTGAAGTGAAGTCAGTGTTATTGCGTTCAGATATGTCGTAAACAATAAGCTTTCACGAAAAAGCACACACGATACGACACTAATTTATAATTACTAACAACGTATATTGAGAATAATCGGTTGCACTCATCGTGAGAACGTTCAGGACACAGATAGGAAATCAATGCAAGTAAATGAAGCAGGTGTGTCGATATGCGCAAACGTGCGTAACGATTTGCAATAATATAATCGGTGAATAAGCTCGCGGCTTTTGCCCGGCGAGATAAACAGAATTAATTGTCGCGAAGCGGCCGAAGCAATGTCGGCGGAGAGCAGAGTGCACTTACCGCCACGTTTTGAGCATCAGCGCTCCATATGTGAGGGAAAAGCCAATTTCTCGTAGCCACACGCGCACAGTGCATGTGATGATGTTTGGTCTGGGATACATAACTATGGTCTGTAACAAGCAAATGCATATCCTGCAAAGCGTAGATGTTGCGCGAGTTATTTCCGACGAGTACGAGCGTCGAGCCAAACGCGTTATCCGCTTCTATTCATCCGCCCTGTATTGAGCGGATAAATTTAAATGACGTCATTCCGACGAGTTCGGAGGGGAGGGGGATTTGCCTTGTGTATACGTGTTACATATGTGCGTGTATCTGTGTGTATATGCCATTGCGATCCGTTCGGCGAATCCAAATATATAATTACTTAATTAGGCTTAATTATTTAAAACACGCGAAGTACACGCGGGAAAAAGAGGACGCGCGCGCTGATAATTTAAAGCGCGTGGAAATTGCGGTAAAAAGGACCTATTAATTTTCCCGGCGAGAGGGGCCCCTCCCCGCGCTATTCACACGGAGAATAACGATCGAAATTTATGGATACACGAATATCTAAATAACGAAGGTTCAGATATTAATGTGGAAATTGTGCGCGTGACACGGCGCGGAGGTAGAATAAGCCGGCGTTCGTCACTCGAGAGCAGTTATTTGCGATGCATATCTCGCGGCATGAATTTCGAGATGTTTGCCGAGAAAGCGGCGGCGACGGAGTAGACGAAGACGCCGGAGAGAGAGCAATTGTTGCTCGCGATAAAATGTATTGTAAAGTTACGCGGAATAGCTTTTGTAATGAGGAACACCGCGGCGGGAGGAAGAAACGCGGCGGAAACGAAGAGAAGTGGCTCTCTCACGCACCGCAAAATTCGATGGCGGTTTCCGTCCCGACTTTCCGAGTTGTATCGCGCGATTTACGCGACGGCTCTCGCGCGCGCGGTGAGATATAATACCGAAGTTTAGTGAGAAACGGAAAGCGCACCTATAAGCGAGCAAATGACGTGCCATTAAGAATGGCACTTCGAGTTTAAGCGTAGCCATCCGGGAGTTCGTGAGGGACGAACATTACGTAGGCACGTTACCACCGCACGAGAGCTCTCTCTCTCTCTCTCTCTCTCTCTCTCTCTCTCTCTCTCTCTCTTTCGAGTTGGGTGACACGGAATGTATAACGCATGCTACCTTCTCGCGCCCGGCAAGAATCACGTAGGGACTTCGATGGGATAGGATCGCGTCGGCGACACATACGACAACTCATAACTCGTAACACGGGAGTGGCGATTTCGCCACTTTCGACTTCTTCGCCGTCGCAGCTGCACTTTGCGACAGTATCCAGCGAAGCGAAACTTTGCACGAAAGAGGAAAAGAAAATACTTCGTCGCATGAAAATTTCAACATGTAAATTTAAGTTAAATACATACGGAGGAAAGGACCGGTTGAATCGGCGTGACGATGACAAGAGTCAAAGCGTTTTGTTTGAAGAAAACAGAATATCCCCCAAATAGAACAGAAAATGATCAAGTCCTGATTGAGTTCTTTAGCCGTCTTGTCGTTACTTCGACGTCAGCGTGACTTTTCTCTGCTTGGGTCTGGTCCCTGAGCCAATAAGATGAGCCAATTCGGTTTTTCAGCTTCCGGAATTCTGTTTCCTTCGACCAAAACGCTCTTAGTTGAAGAAACAGAATTTCTGGTTCTTGTCTAAATAAAAAGGATTACAAGTAACGTATTAGTCACGTCTCCGACGCAATCAATATGATGTCATTGTGTTGAATAAAAACAAAAAAAATTTTGTTGATTCATAAGAAGTAATTTCGTTTTCTCCGACCAATACCAATATTAGTCATGCGTCATTGTCAACACGGAAAAAAAGTTTAGTTGAATTAACCAAATATCTGGTCGAATATAAATGATCCAGAAATTTCGATTAAAGTAACCCGGATTCTGTTTAAATCAACCAAAAATTTTATTAACTTAAACAGAATTCGGGTTACTTCAATCGTAATTTTTGGATCATTCATATTCGACTAGATATTTGGTTAATTCAACTAACCTTTTTTCCGTGAAGAAATCGAATTTTTTTGGTTCTTACATAACAGCAGGATCGTGTCTCTATCGTCACTAATACATCATTAATACGTCATTTGATATTTATATATTTGCTGAATGAAAACCAAATTTGATTCATATAAGAGTCAGAAATTCTGGGACCTTTAATTAAAACGCGTTTAGTTCCTTTATTTTCAACAAACAGAATGCCAGATTGTTACTCAAATATAGCAATATCAAGACAAATAACGTATTAATCATCTCTCTAACGTAATCAATGCACCATTTGACGTCATCATGTTTACTGGGTAAGAACCATATTTAATTCAGTACTTGAAATTCTGTTTGCCTCGACCAAAACGCGTTTAGCTGTTGTCATTGTCAAGAAACAGAATTTCTGGATCTTATCCAGATTGCGGGATAACGTCAAATGACGTATTAATGACGTCTCTTACGTCAACGACATGTCATTAATATGTTGTTCGATATCATCATGTTTGCTGAACCGAATTGATACATAAGAAATTCTGCTTCTTCCAATCAAAACGCGTTTAGTTGGTTTATTGTCAACAAATATGAATATCTGGTTCTTATCCAATATCTGGTTCTTATCAACAAATAACATATTAATCATCTCTCCAGCGTAATCAGTATGTATGACGTCATCATATGTTTGCTGCGAAGAACCATATTTGATTCATACACTGAGAGAAAAGACTGGTAACTATAACAAACTGCATTTAGTTACAGAAATTCGTTGAATCCTTAGTAACTAATACTAAATATGATAATAATTACCAAATATTTAATAGATCGGGAGTATTATGTAATTGCATCCACAGTAACATCAATTAAATAATTTAGTAATAGTTACTTAATATTAAATATTTAATATGAAATATATTATAGTTATGAACAGATATTTGATAATTGTTATGAAATTCTTATATCCCATGTAATAAAAGATTTAGTAGGTATGAGTTCTATTTTGTTACCGGTATAAGTATGTTTTGTTGCAGCACAACGAAAAATTCATTCATTTGCAGCTATTACATCGTTTCAATATCTATTATTATAGATGGTTGGTTGAACCTACCAAACATTTTGTAACTATTACAAAATCGCTTATTTTGCTCAACTATTCAATAAGTTTTATTTACCAAATATATTCTGGAAATAAATTTTACTTCTGTCAAATAAATAATCTATTTTACAGAACTAAATTAATTAATAAGTATTGCCATAGCTTTGGCCCGCTATATTTACGTCTATCATTTAGCAATAGTAACCAAATTTTGATAATATTTATTAAATTCTTCTCTCAGTGTAAGAACTTGAGATTCTGTTTCATTCGGCCGAAACGCCTTTAGTTGCGCCATTGTCAAGAAAAAGAATTTCTGGTTCTTATTCAAGTTGCGGGATGATCAGATGACGCATTAATGACGTCTCCAACGTCAATAATACGTTGCTCGACATCACCATATTTGCTGGGTAAGAACCGAAATGATCCATAAGAATATTCTGCTTCCTGCAACCAAAACGCGTTTAGCCGTTCCATTGTCATGCTAATTCAACCAGCCCTTTTCCGCTGTGCATGTGAGACGAATCAACAAAACGGAAGGGGAAGAGAAATTCGGGGATCCGAATATTCGGAGATCTCGAGAGGAAGTGTGAGTGGACATGCGCGAGAGAGTCTAGTGAAAACGCATTCGGGCCAGCTGTGTACCTGCACTGTCCGCCAAATTCTTGCTTAAACCCCGCTGATCTAAATATGCTTATTTCGGTTGTGGAGTTTCACGTGTATATCACTTGTTACTTATTTACCGAGCTTTCCCAGCAGAATGCTGCTTTGTTGTGCATGCTCGATGTAATGTATGTGTTTGGCGTAGTGAGTGTCACGCTACGCAAACACTTCCCGTAAACACTAAATGTTTGAACTAGTTCCTGTTTATTTAATCACTGCAATTTAAAGTTTATATTGTTTAACGGATGTTCGGTAAAATAGCGGAGCCCGTGCGCTAAAACAGTTAACATCAAGGCACGTGCATACGTGTGAATGTGTGTGTGTGTATGTGTTTATGTTTGCATAAGATAAGGTAAGTTTATAATAAAACAACAGGATATACCTAGTTGTCTTCTGAGGCGTGTGAGATTATCTCGTCGCGTTCCTGAAATTTTTCCGCGAGAGAAAATGTTGAGTTGAGAATTATACCAAGAAAATCTTTCTGACCGTTTCGTTACGGAAGAAACAGTTCTGAGGAGAGAATTAATTAACGTAGGTTGACGGTAGTACGTAAAAACATTCCGTTTCTCTTCAGTTTATCGCGCACCGCAGGAATAAATACAGATGTGACTTCTTGTTTCTGTTATTTAATAAAGTCGTGCGCGGAGAGGAGAGATTGGTTGAAGTAATACGACAAGAACACAATCAAACGCGCTCTGGCCGAAGGAAACGGGACTCCTGCTTCTTACGAACCAAATTCGGCTTCCAACAATCAGAAATTCCGTTTCTGTCAGACAAAACAGCGTTCAGTTACGTCGTTGTCGCGTTAATTCAACCTAGCGCGACAATTCACATCAATTACGACCTACGCGTAAGTACGTGTGTGTGTCTCTGGCGGCGATTGTTATATAAAATTTGTCCAAACGCTTTTACAATTAAACAGACAGCAATTGCATCTCCCTTTATCTCTCTCTCTTTCTTTTTCTCTCGAAATTCCACTTGAGATCAGAAATGTTGCCGTCAAAAACGAAGGAAACGCGCCAAGTCATGTGTACGGGAGAAATTCTTGGAATTTACATTCGCGCAACAAATGGCTTTTCGCTCGCGAAATCGTCCTGCCTCTCGATAAGGCAGGAGGAGGTTGTGAAATGTGATAGAAATTCTGCTATCACCCCGATATATCACGTAAGGACGTGCACGGAATGCGTGTCGCGGCAGCTGTCACTGCGGGTCACAACCGAGAGTACAAGCTGGATGCGATGTCTGGAGTTATTTTATGCTGCTACGTGATCTATGGTATTACTCCAGTATGTTTCGGAGAGACGGCGCGTCATCGGACTAACAACAATCGCGCCGTTTTCTTCGTGTCCGGCGTCAAAATCCAGGTTGTCTCTCCGGATTCTCGAGCTCGAGCTCGAGCTCAAGAGAGAGAGAAAGAGAGATCCACTTGACGTCTCAATCACGACGATATTTAACTTTAGTCTGGCACTCGTGACGACGTTCGCTCAAAGGGACCCAAGCGACAAATTAAGGTCCCGTAGTAGTCGAATATTAAATTATTGCACACATGAAAATTTCCTTCTTCAAAAGTATCCAATTTTTTTACCTTCTTCTATGTAGAATAAATACACTATCTTTTGTTGTGTTATAAATTATTTATCTTAGAAATAATGAATGCGGCAAATTATTGAAAAATGCATCTTTTGTGCACTCAAAACTATAATATCTGTTCGCTAGAAGAGTACATTTATAAATATTTAATATTACAGATATTTAGAAATTTATAATTTTGAATTATATGCAAGCTGATATAATGAAGAACTTTCGGTTCATGTGTTAAAAACAATTATAGTTGGTGAGAATATGAAATTTCAACATTACGCCCTGTCATGTTACAAGAAGGCGAAGTTGCCGTAAGGTCATTTCTAACCACAATGTGTGCTAGATTAAAGTGTCACAAAATGTGAAATAATAATGTAAAATAAATATGATTTTTCTTTATATTTTTAAATGTTCTTTATATTTCAGTTACATTAAATGTAAAATATAAGAAAAACGTTATATGAGTAATTTATTTACTTCTAGTTGTATTTATTTGTGATCAAACTCGTTTTTGTATCAGTAAAATCACAAATAGAAAGAATAAATTCAGAAATAGCTAATCTTTCTAATAATTTTAATAATTAATACCGCAAAACTTAAAATTAAATTTTAATTTTAATTCAATTTTTTAGGAATTTAAATTTTTTATAAATTTAATTTTTTAGGATTTTTAAGGAATTGAAATGTATAATTTTTTTTTTCTTAAAAGCTGGAGTGTCAATTTTTTAAATTCATTCCCACACCAGACATGTTTGGTTAAATAACCAGACATGTTTGGTTAGTCTACCAAAAATCTTATTAACTTAAACAGAATTCGGGTTACTTCAGTCGGAATTTCTGAATCATATTCATATTCGACCAGATATTTGATTAATTCAGCCAAATTTTTTTTTCCGTGCAGAGAAAAATTGCAAATTTTTGCGTAATCCGACGTTTTTATCGCGTTTCTCTTTAGCAACAAAATAAGATAGCCAAATGAATCTTTGCGATCATTTCTGTACATAATTCTTTTTATAAATTTTCATGAGGAGTGTACTTTTGCGGAAGGTGAATATGCGACGGCGCGAACGACCTCGAGTGCGCCAGATTAAGGTGTACCCAACATGTGTGCCGCATGAGAGTTAAGTAAGAACACGCCGGAAAATTCACTGAGTCTCACAGACCCAGTGCGCCAAACTAAGCAGCAAAAACTAAGTGCACCAACGAAGAGTTAATTTCACGTGGCACGATGACCGCCACACACACACACACACACACACACACACACACCTACACACGCTAGCTTTCAACTTACGAGGCTGCTCGTATCGAAAATTGCGGGGGGATCGCTGTGCGAGTCATAATTACAGCTCACGCGAAAAACAATCTGCGCGAGTCCCGCGCAAAATAATCCGCGCGTCACATCCGGGGCGCGGCAGGCCGTGGAGGACACCCGGCACATCCGCTTTAATTAGTGAATCATGAAAGTCGTTAGTTACCGGTGAATACACGGCCGCGCAGCCGATGCGGCCGCCGATACGGCGAGTTATGCGTTATCATAATTGGCGCACGGGGCGCATGCATACATTAAGGCGGTCGCAACAGATGCGGTTACAACCAGGCTCAATGCTGCGGCGTCTCTGCACGGTGCACATGTGAGAAAGCTTTGTTATCGGACTCAGACGGCGAGACGCTGCGGTCCTCATGAATATGAAACGCCCGGGGAAAGCGCGGCGCGACGCGACGCGACGCGACTCGACTCGACTCGACTCGAGTCGTCCCGACGCGACGTGGCTTGTACTTACTGTGCAATATATGAAGAAGGCGCCGAGGACAATCACGCGCAACAAAACCGGGCTGGCCGCCCGCACCACCTGTAACAAATCATTTCGCTCGTTCATTCACGCGCCGCTTGTTTGCCAGCGCGCCGATGGCGCGCGGCGGACCGGAAACGCGTAAATAAAATTAGTGTCGGCGAAAGCAACGACCGGAATAGACCGTGGCGGACCCTTTTTATCTGGCGCGGGGGTTAACAAAGATTGCACTTGACCGATTTATCTTGTACACTTGTTATCGGACTGGGGCCTTGAATGGCTGGAATTCGCCGGAGCTCTCGAGATCTTAGCTTGATTGTCTTGCTTCTTAGTCTTTGCCTCAGTCTCAACCTTGGTCTTGGTCTTTCGGATTCGCACGAGCGCTCCTCCGTGTACGGAGAGAATGCTGTAGTAAAGGTTACATTAAAATTGTACCTCCTTTCACGGTGTTTCTCGTAAATAATTATCGTCATATTTATCGGCACTAACGTAAAATATTCCTCAAATAAAAAAATATACATAACAGAAGACACACATACACAGTTTGTGTTTGTGCTGAAATCGATATGTGTAGAAACTTTTGCGTTAAATTTTTAATATACTCGCGTATGTTAATTGGACATATTGTGTTATTTTCTGCGTTGAGCTCATACTTTCCGTTGCTGTAAATAAATAAGGCTTGACTGTGCTAAAAGTGTAACGCAAATTAGATTATAATTGTATTGAAATATAATTGATATTGCAATACAAATTAGTAAAAAAGTAGTAAGCTTCTACCTGGTATACGATATAAAATAAAAACACATTCAAGTAATTACAATAATTTTGTAGTGAAAAGTCAAACGTGTATAATATTTTTAAGTAAATATACAGTAATTTCGGTCATAATTCCGTATGGTCCAAAATTACAAATATATTTTATAGTAATTTTTACTACAATATTTCCCCCGTGTATATAAACTCTCGAATTTTCCAATTCAGGTATCGAATCAGAAAATCTCTAATCTCTGCCATTTGGATCTTCGACTATCAGAATTTCTCTGCGAGAAATTTTTGCTTTCTGATTTTTAAGTTTATACTGTATATGTGTGTGTATGTGAGAGAGAAAGGAAAAATATATGAAATATTAAAAACATTTATTCGAAGAGTACTCTAATAACGTATTTACTTAAATCTAAATTCTTTCATGTAAAACAGTTGTTTTCGTGAAAAGTTGAGGTTTTAAGGAAATGTGCACTGTAAAAAGATTTTGTGTTAAATTTACATGTTTTACATGATACAATTTATCTATTCTAATTTTTGTGTTAATTTAACATAAACGAAATATATAAACAAAAATGGCACAGATAATACGTCGAAAATTAGCATAAAAATATAATACTTGGACACTGTTGTGTTATTTTAACACAAAAATGAAAAAAATAGAAATAACCCACAGAAAATAACACGCATAAATATGTCCAATTAACATACACGAATATATTAAAAATTTAACGCAAAAGTTTCTATACATATCGATTTCAGCACAAACACGAACTGTGTGCGTGTCTTCTATTGTGTATATTTTTTGAGGAATATTTTATGTCAGTGCCGATAAATATGGCGATAATTATTGGCGTTTACCGAATAAATATATTTTATTCCTTAGATATTATACACAGTTCTCTGGTTTTATCATGAAATCAACGGCAAGTAATACAGATGGAGATCTGCGCGATAATGAATTAAACCAGAATATTAGAAAGATTAAATCCGTTAGAAGGAATAATTGCAAGGAATCGCAATTAACGAAGAGAGCTACCGACTCTCTCACGCTTTCTCTTGCTGTCGCTGAGTTGCATTGATTCATTAGATAAACTTTCTTTTGGCTGAAACTCCGCTCTTTCAATTATTTGCAGTCGAAGTGCGATGTTCTAGCGTAACTGATCATAGTTACTTTTCAAACAGATTAACGGAACGCGGAACCGTGTTCCTCCATGTGAATTCCGCGTTACCTATGTTATTTAGTGCGGTATCCTGCTACGGATGCTTTATTTATGTTGCTGTCGCTTCCGCGGCATTGTCCTCTCTGAATTTGTGTTCAAAATGTATACACATATACATGCATATGTTTGTTATGCTCAGCTAAACAGGGCGAATATCAGGCACGCTCGCTCGTTGTTTATACCACTTAATTTCACCGAACGCTAAATTTATTTGCGAACATCACGATTAAAGCGCCGCAACGGTGCAGCGCCCCATTTTTACGAACAACATTGACGTTGCTTGTGTATTTCGAACAAAATTGAATTGTCCCTTGAATAGCACATCCCGTGTTTGCACGGCAAACGTTACCGCGAACCGATTGAGAAAACAAACATGATCCCTAAGACTATCTAAAATCCGTGATGCTTGAAAATGGCTACACTCACTGCCAATTTACAAACGGCGTAACTCTTCGCGTGGAAAAGAAAATAAAACTAACAGATAACACGGCACTGGCAGCTCTCGTAAAGTTGGAATATTTTAACCCAACTATCGCGCTGAAGCTAGCGGCGAAAAAGTAAGTCAGCTCACCGGCATCTTAAAGTAGACGGCACTTTTTTTTAAAAAGCCTTTAGCGCAATAGCATACTGATGACTAACGAAAGAAGCACCGCGCGAGTCAAGCACAAATTACAAATTATAATTCTACGAAGATAAAGTTCGCTTCGGGGTAAATAAGAAGAAAACATCTCAAACCGTATCGTCTGACTTGTAGGGAGAAAGAGAGAGAAAATAAGAGAGTGGGAGAGAGAGGGGGAGAAGGGGAGAGAGAGAGCGAGACGGAAGGAAGAGAGGGAGAGAAAAGAAGAGCGAAGTAGAGTGAGGATGAGGGAGGAGATAACAAGAAAAAAGAGAGAGAAGGAGAAAGTATGAATGAGAGAGAGAGAGAAGGAGAGATTTTCTCGGTCGCCTTTGTGAAAAAACACCGGAGAATTATATTCGCCGTCTTCTCGTGTACTCCCACGGAGGTAAAATCAACATCGATTTATTATAAAGTAACCGCAGATAAAAAGAAGCATGATGTTGCATGGAAGTTGGGGGGCACTTTGTATAACGCAATAAATTTAATAACGCGATAATGTGTAATGTGCGCGCGCCCGCGGAATTTTCATGGGTAAACGCCTTGAGCGCGATATCGGGCCGCATTATTATGATCGCCGACTGAATATCGAAAAGCCGATAGTAACGCGGCACGGCCGTAAACGCGATTTTACCTGCCGCCCTCCTGCCTCCATCCATTCGCGCTTTCATACGATATGCAAGAAACGTGCTGAAGTAAAAGGAGAGGTAGCGAGCACATCGCCGGGAAACGCCGCAAAATCCGCCGCAGCGGAATACTAGGGGAGAATAATAGCGAATAAAGTGAGTTAAAGTTCGTCCCCCGCAGCAGAGCTAATTTCCCGTTCGCGTGTCTCGACTGTTTCATTCGCGCTCTGGACGGACTTATTTGTTGCTTCCGTTCCACCCCGTTTTCCACAGCGCGATCTATCCCTCCCCCCCTCCCTCCCGGTTCTCCTCCCCATCGTCATCCTCCTCACCCCCTCCCCTATCCTGCGCTCGTATCTTGCACAGTACAAGGAAATAAAAAAGTTGGAACTACCCTCTTAACCCCTTCAGGAATTACACAGGCTATTTAGTAATTTGTACCGCGAGTGTTAAAGCGCACTTTCCTACGAGAGGTTCGGCGATTCAGCGAGACGATGGGCTTCCGAGGGAGGATTCGCGACTCGCGAAATTCCAAACGAATATATTGCGATAAGTTAAAATTACAAATAATAATAGAGAAAACGGTTCTAATAAAGATTTAAGTTGTAAATTGGACAATAAGAGTCTTTATAAGGATATAAATAAAAAAATATATATATTTAGAAGATAACTATAAATAATAATAACACTAATTAAATAAAATTTTTTAAATTCCTTTAAATAAACGAATATATTGCGATAAGTTAAAATTATAAATAATATTAGAGAAAACGGCTCTAATAAAGATTCAAGTTGTAAATTGGACAATAAGAGTCTTTATAAGGATATAAATAAAAAAATATATATATTTAGAAGATAACTATAAATAATAATAACACTAATTAAATAAAATTTTTTAAATTCCTTTAAATAAACGAATATATTGCGATAAGTTAAAATTATAAATAATATTAGAGAAAACGGCTCTAATAAAGATTCAAGTTGTAAATTGGACAATAAGAGTCTTTATAAGGATATAAATAAAAAAATATATATATTTAGAAGATAACTATAAATAATAATAACACTAATTAAATAAAATTTTTTAAATTCCTTTAAATAAACGAATATATTGCGATAAGTTAAAATTATAAATAATATTAGAGAAAACGGCTCTAATAAAGATTCAAGTTGTAAATTGGACAATAAGAGTCTTTATAAGGATATAAATAAAAAAATATATATATTTAGAAGATAACTATAAATAATAATAACACTAATTAAATAAAATTAATAAAATTTTTGGAAATTCCTTCAAATAAACGAATATATTGCGATAAGTTAAAATTACAAATAATAATAGAGAAAACGGCTCTAATAAAGATTCAAGTTGTAAATTGGCCAATAAAAGCCTTTATAAAGATATAAATAAAAGAAATATATATTTAGAAGATAACTATAAATAATAATAATACTAATTAAATAAAACTATAAATTTTTTAAATTCCTTCAAATAAACGAATATATTGCGATAAGTTAAAATTATAAATAATATTAGAGAAAACGGCTCTAATAAAGATTCAAGTTGCAAATTGGACAATAAGAGTCTTTATAAGGATATAAATAAAAAAATATATATATTTAGAAGATAACTATAAATAATAATAACTAACTAATAAACTATAAATAATAATAACACTAATTAAATAAAATTATAAATTTTTTGAAATTCCTTCAAATAAACGAATATGTTACGATAAATTAAAATTACAAATAATAATAGAAAAAACAGTTCTAATAAAGATTCAAGTTGCTAATGCTAAATTGGCTAATAAGAGCCTTTATAAGGAT